ATATATCTTGGAACACTGGACCAGCTCTACACTTTCAGCAGGGCCCTGGAGGATGCGTGGGAGTTTGTCCAACCAGTCTACATGTGCTTTGTGGACTTCGAGAAGGCATTTGACCGCATCCCTTGAGGAGCCCTGTGGGGGGTACTCCGGGAGTATGGGGTACCAGGCCCTTTAATACGGACTGTTAGGTCCCTGTATGACCATTGTCAGAGCCTGATCCACATTGCCGACAGTAAGTCGGGCTTGTTCCCAGTGAGAGTTGGACTCCGCCAAGGTTGTCCTTTGTCACCGATTCTGTTCAAAACTTTTATGGACAGAATTTCTAGGTTCAGACAAGGTGTTGAGAGGATCCATTTTGGTGGCCTTAGGATTGCTTCTCTGTTTTTTGCAGATGATGTGGTCCTATTGGCTTCACCAGGTCATGATCTACAGCTTTTGCTGGAGCGGTTCGCAGCCGAGTGTGACGCGGCAGGGATGAGGACCAGTTCCTCCAAATCCGAGGCCATGGTCTTGAGCCAGTAAACGGTAGAGTACGGGGAGGAGGTCCTGCCCCAAGTGGAGTTCAAGTATCTTGGGGTCTTGATCACAAATGAGGGAAAAATGGAGCATGAGATTGATAGGCGGATAGGTGCAGCGTCAGCAGTGAAGCGGGCGCTGTACAGGTCTGTCGTGGTGAAGAGAGAGCTGAGTCAAAAGGCAAAGCTCTCAATTTACCAGTCGATCTACGTTCCTACCCTCATCTATGGTCATGAGCTTTGGGTTGTGACCGAAAGAACAAGATCACGGATACAAGCGGCTGAAATGAGTGTCTGGGATCTCTAGGGTGTCTGGGCGCTCTCTTAGAGATAGGGTGAGAAGTTCGGTCATCCAGGAGGGACTCAGAGTAGAGCCGCTGCTTCTCCACGTCGAGAGGAGCCAGTTGAGGTGGCTTGGGCATCTGGTTAGAACGCCTCCTGGATGCCTCCCTGGTGAGGTGTTCTGGGCTTCTCCCACCGGGAGGAGACCCAGAGGAAGACCTAGGACACGCTGGAGGGACTATGTTTCTCGGCTGGCCTGGGAACACCTCGGGATTTCCCCAGAGGAGCTGTCCCAAGTGGCTGGGGAGAAGGAAGTTTGGGCCTCCCTACTTAAGCTGTTACACCCGTGACCCGACCCCGGATAAGCGGAAGAAAATGGACAGCATTTACCGAGCATGGATGATGTTTTGAACCACTTTGGCATGGCTGCCTCAGAGGAGTTGATGGGGGAGAGGTAGGGCCCCAGAAGCTATCTTATCACCAGCAAACTGTTTTTTTGTTTTTGTTTCCACAATGTGAGTGTGCTACTTGTGGGACTCAGTTTGATGGTGGCTCCTCGGACTGATGAAGTCCTTTGGATGAAGGACGAAATGTCTCAGAAAACAGAGAACCCGTCCAGATGACCTGACTGAACACTGTTGCAGGTTTTAGATGTTTTCTGAAGCAGCAGTTTGATCACAGCTCAAGGTGTTTTTTGATCTGTGCTCTTCAGGTCAGCTGCAAAGCAAGCCCAAACCATCAGCCTTCCACCACCATCCTAAACAGCTGGTATTAGGTTTTGTCGTTTTAAAGAGAAGAATAAGAAGAATCCTTAAACTGATGAGATCAGTGATTCAAATGTTAAAGTTTTTTTTTTTTATAACATTTATTTGTCAGGTCAGTTTTATTCTCACAGCACAGCCTTCAACAAATACACCATCTCATGATATGAAATGCTTGATTATGTGACTGTAGAGTTCATCATCAGCCTGGGTGTTTTGGTTTCAGTGTGTTTCCATCAGCAGAGCTCCAGCTTCACCCAACCTCACCTGTTACCTGTTCATGATCAGCACACCCGGATTTACTGTCACCTGCTGCCAGAGTCAAATTAAAACTTTACATCGTGGACTTCACGTCATGTTCAGTTTTTAAAGTATTCGTACAGACACATAAAACTGATCAGTCAGATCTGATCAATACATCTACAACTTCCTGTTTCGGGTCATCGAGTTTCAAACTAATCAAGAAGGTTTAACTTTGTTTTCAGCAGAAAGAGCATCAGAGCTGCTGTTTGACCACAGAGACCTTCACGGGTGGTATGCTTAGTTGATCCATTGAGTGAATGAAAAGAAACACCTTCTCAGTGAAAGTGTGTGTGAAGGTGTGTATGTGTGTATTTGTATTAGGATCAGAAAATGAGAGCTTTCCTCTGTGCCAGTCCAGATTCACTCTGATCCTCTGGAGCTTCCTCTGAGCTGGGAGAACTTTGAGAGGAGCTGCTGGTGACTCCGCTGAGTATTCACCACAGTAGAACCATAATCCCCATATTTGAGACTTTATGTCTCCCTTAATCTGAGCAGACTTTGCTAACACACCAAGTTCCCACACTTCGCTCTCTCCAACATCAACAACCCAGCTGTGATTCCCTGAGTTAAAACCCTCTGAACTTCGAACCGAATACCATTCATCAAACCTCTCAGGATTATCAGGAAGCTGCTGATACTCTCCTGGTCTCATGCTGGTCAGATCTTCAGACAGGATGAGCTTTAGACCAGCAGTGTTCGGGTCCAGAATGGTGGGGGTGTAGGAGACCATGTCCTTCATGTTGTTCCAGATGTTGAAGGTCAGGTTGCCCAGGTGTTTGGCCTGATCTATCAGAGCTTCTGAATGCAGCTGTGGATCCTCCAGCAGGGGGCAGAGCTGGACTCTTTCCACTGCAGCCTTGTAGCTGTGCAGGAAGGAGACATCTTCAGCTCTCAGCTCCTCCTCTGTGGTTCGGACCGTGTCTGAAAGAGCTGCTATCTCTCTGATCAGAGCCTCCATCTTCTCCTTCATCTTTCCACTCTTCTGCTCCTCTTCCTCCCTCAGTGCAGCCAGCATGGCCTCCTCTTTCTCTGTTAGAAACTGGTGGAACTTCTGAAACTGCTCCTTGATCTGCCTCTCTGTGTGTCGGGCCTGGAACTTGATGTGCTCTGCTGTCTCATCAAACTCAGACAGAACTTTCTTCTGGAGCTCCAGTTTCTTCTTTAATGGTTTCTGGAACCTTAGCAGATCCGCTCTGTGATCTTCTGCAGCTTCATTGATGGGTCTGAATCTGTGGTTGGCATGTTTCTTTGAATCTCTGCAGATACCACACACAAGCTCCTGTTGGTCCAGACAGAAGAGTCTGAGTTTCTCAGAGTGCAGACTGCAGAGAGCCTCTGAAGCTCTCTGATGTTTCTCCACTAAGAAGGACTCGCAGAGGTTCTTCAGCACCAGGCTAACTGGTGGATCCTTCACTGCAGATCTTCTCTTGCAAATAGGACACTCATGCATTGGTTTCTCTCTCCACCAGTTCCTCAGACAGACCTTACAGAAGCTGTGGCTACATGGCAGAACAACAGGATCTCTGAAGACCTCCTGACAGATTGAGCAGCAGAGGTCCTCCTCTGATCTGGAAGCCATTTAAAGTCTGGATGAAGCTGAAAACAATAGACAGAAAGTACAGTCAGTTATGGCTCCCCTCCCTCCTCTAATGTTCCTCAAACTGTCTGGGTGTTTTTGCTCCGACTCACCTTGAGTGTGTGGAGAGCAGCTTGAACCAGAAGGTTGTGGTTTTCTGCTTTTCTCTCCTGCATCACTAAGAAAAAGAAGCTGAATGCTTGGTCTGAAGGTCCATTTGATCGTCTGCGTGTCTTTCTGTAGTGTCCAAAGGTCAACGACTATTTCCTGGTTTGTGAGTCAGGAGGTGGCCGGAGCCTAAACCTGGTAATACTTGCTGCCTCACCCTATCACTCTGTTGGTTTTACGGTTGTAGAAAAACACAGATTCATAGAGGATCAGGTGTAGACTTCATGAAATCTTTCATTTGCTGGCAAATTAGAGAAGTCAATTTCACAGAAAGTCAAAGTTTTAGTCTGCTCGTTCTGCTGGCATCAGTTCTGAGATGCCTCTACTTTACAAAGTTACACGAGTAGTTTAAATAGTCCCACAGATTGAGTGTAATAACAGTCACATGGAAGGTGATAAACCAGTCTGCCAACCTGTATAGATTGCCACAACCCACATATATTGTCACATTATCACACTTGACACAAAGTTCAGTTTCACAATAACACAGAGATAAATAAAGAATAGTTGTGTTCAGGAAAATAATATTGTACAATACATAAAAATGCAATGTCCCAGGAAGCAGATCAATAAATAATACATTTCCATCATATTTGCATGTTTTTCTCATGCATGCATGGGTTTTCTCCAAGTACTCCGGTTTCCTCCCACTGTCCAAAAATATGCATGTTAGGTTGCCTTCAGGCCCCAAAAACTCCATAGCAAGACATATGTGATCTCAATAGGATTTGTCTGCATAAATAAAGGTTAATAGAATATACATTTTAGGATGACCAGCAAACATCACCATTGTGACATTAATGCTGTCTCTTTTTTCAGCTTACATAACAGTAAATATTAGTATTCTGTATAGAGCATCATTCTCCTTGCGCACTGCATTCATTAAGTCTACACTGTCTTTACTTGTTCATAGCTGTACATACCTTGAAAAACGGAGATTTATTTAGACACATACTTGTATTTATTCATATCTCAAGATACAACGTTATGTAACTACTGATCAGTATGCACTTCTGGTAAGATGCCATCTGCACTTTGTTACCCTGGACTGATGCAATGACAGTAAAGTTGATTCTAAATGTTATCTAAACTGTCCTCAAAGTTCTAGTCATTCATTTAATCATTATATTAAACAGATTTGATTGTTCCACTACACCACCCCCACCCTCCCACCCCACACACACTTTTGTGTCTAACCCATGTCTCCATTTCCTCTCAATCAGAAAACACACTCACCTTTTTACACAACTTACCAGCAAACAACTCGTCTTCTTTTCCTTCCCTCTTCTATTCCCATTACCTTCCTACCAGATTCACCCATAAAAATCCACATATTCCACTTCAGAAGGTAACTTGAAGGTTTTAAACAGAACAAGGCAGCTGGACCTGATGGCATAATCCCAAAACTTCTTAAATTCTGCTCCTCTTGGCTGTGTGACATCCTTGTTTACCTAGTCAGTCTGATCCTCCAGCTGCAGAAGATTCCCACCTCCTGAAAACATGTCTGGTTCCAGTCCCCAAGAAAAAATATGCAGCTGACTACAGTGACTTGAGACCTCCCACATCATGAAGATATTGGAGAGGTTGGTCCTCTCCCACATCAAAAATAAGTCAACACATTCACTGAACCCTTCCAGTTCACATATCAGCCCAACATCGATGTCGATGATGCCCTTCTGTACAAGGGTGGAAATGCCATTTTATCATTGGGGTAGCAGTAAACAGACTTTTATACAAACATCATAACTTTTTAAATTGGCCATACTACGAGATTAGATCATGATAAAGTAACTAAAAGTAGACTTACACAAATGGACTCCTTATGGGGAAATCTAGAACTAAATCTTTGGTTCCACAATTAGTGCAACTCCCTCCTAGTAAAGTAAAGCGCTATGTGTTGTCATCATTGTGTGTTCCCATACAATGACGAAATTAGTTCTCTGCATTTAACCCTAGCAGCATTTAGGGATTAGGTGTCTTGCTCAAGGACATCATGACATGTGGGCATGGCGGGGAGTTGAACCTGTGACTTTCTGGTCCCAGGTCAGCTGCCCTACCTCTACACCATCTCCGCCCTCACCCACCACTCCCCAAAAAAGAGCCACACCCCGTCGGGGAATTGAATTCCAGTCTCCCGCGTGACACTCACCACTACGAGATGCACACAAAGAGTACACAATTCAGTTAAAATATATAATAATAAAAATAAAAAAAAACAGA